AAGTTCACCAATGGATGGGTTTGTCCATGGATTTCTCCAAGGTGTTTGACAAAGTCCCTCATGCACGACCAACCTCTTAAGATCTAGGCACATGACACTACAGGCACGATTTTGACGTAAATTAACAACTGGCGTGAAACACGCGCAAAGAGTTGTAATAAATGGAGTGCATTCTGAATGAAAAAAGTTCTCAGTGGAATACCACAAGGCTCTATCCTTGGAATCGCCATGTTTGTGATCTACATCTATATATATATAAAATAAAGAAGTATCTGTGTGTTTGTTTGTGTGTCCGCACGAGAATCTCGGAAACTACTTTACCGATCTGTAGTGATGATGGATGGTGTTATATGCAGTGATGATGTGGATGGTGTTATCTGTAGTGATGATGGATGATGTTATATGTAGTGATGATGGATGTTGTTATATGTAGTGATGATGGGTGGTGTTATATGTAGTGATGATGGATGGTGTTATATGTAGTGATGATAGATGGTGTTATATGTAGTGATGATGGATGATGTTATATGTAGTGATGATGGATGTTGTTATATGTAGTGATGATGGATGTTGTTATATGTAGTGATGATGGATGGTGTTATATGTAGTGATGATGGATGGTGTTATATGTAGTGATGATGGATGATGTTATATGTAGTGATGATGGATGTTGTTATATGTAGTGATGATGGGGTGTTATATGTGTTATAGTGCAGTGATGATGTGGATGGTGTTATCTGTAGTGATGATGGATGATGTTATATGTAGTGATGATGGATGTTGTTATATGTAGTGATGATGGGTGGTGTTATATGTAGTGATGATGGATGGTGTTATATGCAGTGATGATAGATGGTGTTATATGTAGTGATGATGGATGATGTTATATGTAGTGATGATGGGTGGTGTTATATGTAGTGATGATTAGACAATAAAATAATAACTGTTTAATGCTAAAAAAATATACTTGGCTGCACCGTTGAAGGATATCCAGGGATAAAGTCAGGCAATGCTTTGGGACGTGTCTACACGGTTCACCCCAACAACTTTGAATGCTATTGTTTGAAACTACTTTTGCACCACATCCGTGGCCCAACATCATATGCAGCACTCAAGACAGTGAATAGACAAGTCTGCAGAATCTATCAGGAAGCGTGCAATCTTCTTGGCCTACTGGAAGATGATGGTCACTGGAATGACACATTAGAAGAGGCAGCAGCTACTCAATCGCCAATGAGAATATGGAACCTGTTTGCCATCATGATTGCTACATGTGGACTTTCCAACCCAAGCCAGCTCTGGAAAAACCACCAAGAAAGTCTTTCAGAGGATCTGCTTCATCAAGCAAGAAGAGAACATCCTGGTCAAGAGATTGAGTTCATGGATGACATGTTCAACAGGGCTCTGATCATGCTGGAAGACAAAGTGATGGAGCTATGCGGAAAAAATCTGACTGATTTTGGATTGCCTTCCCCAAACCGAGAAGAACCAGTAGTTGCAAACAGGGAGTTGCTCAGAGAGACAGACTACTCAGCTGAAGTTCTGGTGAATTTTCTTGAAGGAAATGAGCCTCACCTGGTGCCTGATCAAGCAAAGGCTTATGAACAGATCTTGCAAGCGATACAAGCGGAGCAAGGAGGTATGATCTATCTCGATGCACCTGGCGGGACAGGAAAAACATTCCTGATCAACCTTCTGTTGGCCAAAGTACGTCATCAGGGGAAAATTGCTCTTGCTATGGCATCCTCAGGCATTGCTGCAACACTACTAGAAGGAGGACGTACTGCACACTCAATTTTTAAACTGCCTCTCAACCTCGCTCACAATGAGAATCCAGTGTGCAACATCAAAAAAGGATTGGCAGAGGCAAAACTCTTAGAAAAATGCAGCCTCATAGTCTGGGATGAATGCATTATGTCTCACAAGTTAGCGTTTGAAGCATTGGACAGGATCTTGCAAGACATACGAGAAAATGACCAGCTCATGGGTGGCATTGCAATGGTCATTGCTGGAGACTTTCGCCAGACCCTACCTGTCATTCCTCGAAGCACTCCAGCTGATGAACTGAATGCGTGCCTCAAGGCATCATACCTTTGGAGAAGTGTTCAGACACTCACCCTATCCACAAACATGAGAGTACATCTACAAGGAGATCAGGATGCTGGACGGTTTGCAAACCTTCTACTACAGATTGGGAATGGAACTTTCCCTGTTGATTCAGAAGGACAAATAATCATTCCTCAGGGATGTCTAAATGTTGTAAAGTCCTCAACTGAGCTCACTAACATGGTCTACCCAAACATTATCCACCACTACAAGGATCACAAGTGGCTGCGTGAACGTGCAATTCTGGCACCAAAGAATGAAACAGTGGCTCAAATCAACATGACTCTACTCAGACAGCTTCCAGGCAGTGAGACCTCATTCAAATCTGTTGATACAGTAATCGACCAGGACCAAGCAGTCCAGTACCCTGCAGAATTCCTTAATTCTTTGGAGTCAGCTGGAATGCCTCCTCACCACCTCACTCTCAAGATTGGAACTCCTATAATGCTCTTAAGAAATCTTGAACCACCAATCCTCTGCAATGGCACAAGACTGGCGGTGAAGAACATGATGCGAAATGTACTGGAAGCTACAATACTGACAGGAAAAGCGAAAGGAGAGGACGTTTTTATACCAAGGATACCTCTCATCACCACTGACCTGCCATTTGAGTTCAAACGGCTTCAGTTCCCGGTTAAAGTATGCTTGGCCATGACCATCTACAAAAGCCAGGGACAGTCCCTAAAGATGGTTGGCCTAAACCTGGTGCTTCCTTGCTTCTCTCATGGACAGTTCTATGTTGGATGCTCCTGAGTGGGAACTGGCAAAAATCTGTACATAGTTGCTCCTAATGGTAAAACCAAAAATGTGGTCTACCTTAATGCACTATAGTGAGACAATGTGGAGCCTCCCGGAGGGTAGCGTCCTACTGTGGCCTAGCGAAAGAGTCGCTCAGAGGGCGGCGATTCCGCTAGTAGACGATATAGATGAAAATATATCGGGCCACATTGTCAAGTGGGCGAACGGCACAAAGATATTTGGGGAGGTTTCAATTTAAGATGATGTCGCAACAATGCAGAACGAAGGGGGTGCTGGTGGTAGAGTGGTACCGCTCTTGCCTTCGCAAGCGAGATGTCACGGGTTCGATTCCCGGGCTGGTGGAAGTTGTTTGGACACACTTCCTAGCCCCCATTAGTCCCTGTTCACCTAGCAGTAAAGTAGGTACCTGTTGTAAGTCGAAAGTTGCGAATTCGTATTCAGGGACAAGTTGTTAGAGCTTCCAATAACTTGATGACACAAACCATTGACTCTTCAGGCTTCTATGCCCTTGACTCTTCAGGCTTCTACGCCCTTAACTCATGAGACATAAAGGCAAGCATGAACTTAGCATGCTTCCCTGTTGGGCGCTGTAAACGCTTCTGCGCTTCACCTTACACAAGGATGTAGGGGAGTACCCAATAAATAAAAAATAAAAAAAATGCAGAACGACCTGCATGGGCTCTTGAGACTCGCAAATGCTTTTTAACATACGAAATACAGTACAAGACACCTAGGATACAACAACCCTAATCACACAATCACACTACAGTACTTCTACTACTACTACTTCGCTGTCACTCGACATCGAGTATGACGATCATCCAGCTTTGAAACAAGGATATGAGTTATTAATGATGTCACCTTCGTTGGTGAGCTCTGGGGTGACTCGAGAGGCCGAAACGGGATTGGCAGGGCCATCCACAGTTGTTGCACGTGTGGAGGGTTACATCTAGTGCGGGAGGGGCTACGGCGGCGTTTTTCCTGCGCTGGCGCATGTCTGCCTCAGTTTTCACAGCTGTTCTGTTTATAACCCTTTCCTGGATACTGTCGAAGAGGGTACCAAGTTAATACAGGGTATGAGAACAGCAAATCGAGATTTGAAATTATAAAGTGAACCTTTGAATATAACGATAGAAAAATGTTCCTTCAAGTGTACAAATTTAAAATACGCCCCAGTCTGGATTACTGGATACAGGCATTGAAACCCTACCCCCAGAAAGATTTAACATCCCCAGAAAAGGTGCAACACAAAGCGAATACGATGAATCCGGAACTTTGTTATCTCGATTATCCAAGTAGACTGAGGGCCATAGGACTAACAACCTTTCAGACAAGACGTAATATGGCATATGTCACCAAAACATTCAAAATCCCGAAAAGGATGGAAAAAGTAAACCTGGGACATTTCTTTGTGATGTCACGCACCACCAACGTGAGGAACATAACTACAAGCTCGCTAAGTTATCATGCAGAACGAATATAAGAAAAGACTTTTTCACACAGAGGGTCGTAGACCTATGAAACAGTCTACCAGCCCAAGCTCTAGAATCAAGAATAGTACTTTGGTTCAAAATAGCCATTGAAAAAATTATCATAAACCATGGAGGGATCCTACTCAGGCAACTGGCTCCTTCCCACGGCATGGCCACCTCTAGTGAAGGCGATTAGGCAAATAAGATAGGTCTGTAACCGCCTTTGTTAAGGACGGTCGGGTGGCGGGCAAGTCGAAGGGAATGATTGAAACCCGCCTTTTGACGCACTCAATATTTATTGATATGATCAAAACCTGCAGAGAACAAGGCGTTCATTAGTATTACATGGTGATTCATCTGATACATAATTTGATAGTCTCACACAATTTTATCTTAACTATAGAAGATCATTAAACATAGTACGGAACTCTAATTATTTTAGTTGCG